AAAATTGAGACTAGATTAATGTTTGTCAAGTAGCAGTATTCACTGGAATGATTAAAGTATATGTAAATACAATCAATAACATCTCATGTATGATTTAACATATGTAATTTGAAAAACATTTTTGATATATAAAAAAAATGCTACATTAAAAGGTATATCTTGAAATTAAAGTCCTTATTTCAGCACCTCTTGTAATGACAGAAAAAAAAATGGACAAAGCAATTTGAACTTGTAAAGAAAGTATTTGCTTGTTTGAAATACATACATAAGAGGAGGCGCATGCGCGCAGGGATCTAAGATGGCCGCGTTTTAGATCACCTCCGCTCCACCCGGGCATATGCCCCCTGCTACCGTCCTTTCAGCGGCACCCGTTGACCTCCCCTGTCTAACCGGACCAAGACATAGATCTCCTGCAGTCGGAGAAGACTCAGCAAACCCGCAAATCAGAGCGCACTGTGGAGACCGCGAAGAGGCCTTCCAAAATGGCGCCCGCTTCGCTCCTTACCTCGGACGAGGACAGTTGGCACTCGCTGGCTGATGATCCGATGTCGCATGCGGACTCTTGGCCCCACACCCCGCTTGATCTCCGCTCACAGGATCCAGAGGGTGACCCTCAGTTCCTCACCCACTTCCGAGACATAGTCCGGGAGGAAATCTCGGCGGCCTCCCGCAAGCTCTCGTCTGACCTACTCCACGAGATTCGGGACGTAGGCCGCAGGACCACTGCCATCGAGCATCGCATAGACGACGCCACCCTGGTCCTGGATGACCACGAACGGGAGCTGGCAGCTCTTAGGGATGAACTGGAGCAGCTCAAAGATAAACAGGAGGACTCTGAAAACAGGGCCCGTCGGAGCAATGTACATGTCCGGGGCCTACCGGAGACAGTTACTGACCTGCATGGCTCCATGATGGCCTTCTTCCAGGAACTGGTACCGGACCTCCCCTTGGACCGTATGGAGCTAGATCGTGTCCACCGAGCACTAGCTAGACCGCGCTCCGCGGTCTAGTCCTCAAATTCCACTATTTCCGTACCAAGGAAAGGGTCCTTCAGGCGGCCCGTGACAAGGCCCCCCTCACCTTCCAGGGCTACGACCTGCAGTTCTACTCAGATTTAGCCCCCGCCACATTGGCAAAACGACGTGCCTTGACGCCCTCGGACCTCCGTTCCCTATTCCAGGACCTGGGCTTTGCGATCCCGCCGGAAGAACCCCCACATCGCCCTACTCTTCCTCTTCAGACCCCACTGCCACTAACGCAGCGCTCCCTTTTGCCCTCCGGGCTGCAACGTCCCCCCACGACACCCTCCAGGATCCCCCGGCATCTGAAAGCCGACGCTTTCCAACCTGAAGGTGATGGCTGACTTGCGCCCCCCCTCGCTCGCTGCTATTCCACAGAGACTTAGTCTCAACAGGCTACACATTGTTCCATACCTAGATCGGGTTGGTATGGTTCGCCCTGCATTACTGGGGGAATTGTTGTTTGTGCCTAACCGACAGGTTCTTTATTTTCAGGTTCCCCAATGAACTTTTGGGATTTTTTGTGTTTATTCATGTGTGATGGGTCCCGGGAGCCCACAATGGGTTACTTGCCTCTTGTACTCCATTACCTTCCTACCGACACCCGTCCCTCGGTTTGCTCCCTAATATGGACATGACCCTCCTACTGTTGGGTTCCTTATTTATGCATACTGTGTTAAGTATATATATATTTTTTTCTCCTTCAAGGTTCGCCCCACGCTCAATACGTCACTATTTGTGTAATGGATCCCGGGAGCTTATGTCCTGACAGTGCCTATTTAGCACCTTCCTGTCTCCCCTCCCGGTATCCATTCCACGGGGCGCTCTCAGATGTTGATGTTTGCTTTATAGTTCCCATCGTTCCCGACACTGGCTCGTCACCTCGGTCTACCTGCCTCTTTTGAGCCCTGGGTGTGCCGGGGTGATGAACACTATCTTCCCCCCCAATCGTATTTTCTGTAAGCTGCCCATTTAGCTCCTGATTAGGGAATTCCCTGCCCGGGTGGTTCCCTGTGTCTCCTTCCTGGTTCTCCGTTTCCGGTAGCCTCCGGCCTTGAACCCATGTAGAGTGTACTGGCTGGAACACTAACCCGCTCTTTCCCTTCCACTTCCGTCTCCCCTTCGCCTCTCTCCCACCTCCCTCCCCCACCTTCTCCTCCTTCCCATCCTCTTTCCTGATCCCTTTCCCCCTCATGTGTCTTGTTG